AGAAGCCACCACACCTGCATCCATCCCATCAGAAGCAGCCAGCTCTCCAATGAGTACAGTGTCTTCTACGGCATCAGCAAAGAGAATAACATCTTCTATTTCCATAACCACAACCCCAGCTCTAAAGAGCACAGTATCCTCTACATCTTTTTCAGAGAGTAGCATGACGCCATCCAGTTTGGCAAGGACCACCGCTTCTACTTTATCAAGTAGTGTGCCATCTACCACTCCCACAACCAGTTCCGGACTTCTTTCTACCCCCGAGCAAACGTCCATCTCTCCTCTGGAGAGAACACTACATACAACAATTTCAGAAAAGAGTAGCACAATTACTTTTGCTAGTACTGAAAGTACAGGTTCCATTTTGGAGAGGCCAGCATATTCCACACCTTTGCCAGGGACCAGCATGTCTGAATCCACCACATCAGAAACAGCTACCTCTCCTCCAGAAAGCACTACAACTGCTGGAAAGAGTAGCATGATGACTGCTCCTACTACAGAAACCACAAGTTCTGTTTCAGAGAGCACAGCAGTCTCCACAGAGATACCAGCTGCCACCTTGAATGAATCCACCACATCACAAAGTGCCACATCTTCCCAAGAGAGCACACAGCCCCCCAGCTCCTTCCCTGAGAGCTCCACAATTAGGACTGGTACAACAAAAACCACTACTCAACTTCCAATGACTAGGGAATACTTAACTACTTCTCCACAAACCACCACATTGGAAACCATAACAACAGCAACAGCCACTTCTCCCCCACAGAGCACAGTGACCTCCAGCTCTATAAAGACTACTAGCTCTTCAGAAACCACTGCTGAACATTCAATCATCACAGCTTCTTCTCCAGAAGCCACCACACCTGCATCCATCCCATCAGAAGCAGCCAGCTCTCCAATGAGTACAGTGTCTTCTACGGCATCAGCAAAGAGAATAACATCTTCTATTTCCATAACCACAACCCCTGCTCTAAAGAGCACAGTATCCTCTACATCTTTTTCAGAGAGTAGCATGACGCCATCCAGTTTGGCAAGGACCACCGCTTCTGCTTTATCAAGTAGTGTGCCATCTACCACTCCCACAACCAGTTCTGGACTTCTTTCTACC